CTTCATGGTTATTTTGAATTAGCTTATTTTTAGAAGAGTAACATTGAATTAATGAATTAATTAATAAAACTGGCAGTTTAGGAATGAACTTTCAATTGCTTCAGCAATTAAGACAAGAAAGTTAAGACTCAGACTCAGTATTTAATAATCACTTGAAAATGGGGTGTTCTTCACAAAAACTTTTTAAATGAGGGTTAGGATTCTTGGTACTGAAATAGCTTCAAGGGGTCAAATAAAAGTTCCTTTTAGTTATAAACTACACATGCAACTTTGTGTGTCTTGGACTGGCTAGCAACTGACTGTTAATTACAATCAGATTTGATTGTTGTTGTTTTCCTAGGACATCAATGGGGCATAACAAAATCTGTTAAATTCCATTGCATTATAGTTATTATTCACTCGTATTTTTCAAATGACTGCTATAAATGAAAATAACATATATGGACCATTTATATTATCTTCATCACCAAGGTCACAAAGAAAGTGAATGTAAGAAATTCTGAAAAAATTAATAAAATACTGTTTAAATCTAGAAATAAAGTGTGTGATTAGAATGAAAGTGTTGAAATGTCTACGTATTCTGTTCTTGTTTGCTTCCTGTTGTTGTGATAAAACACAACCAAAACTAAAAAAACAAAAACAAAAACAAAAAAATAAATGCCAAGGATGAAATATTAACATCAGCAGTTTTTGTGTTCAGATCACCTGAACTTTTTAAATATCTTCATTAGCATATAGAATAGTATGTTTCACATTTTATATACTAAGATCATTCTATTTTATGTATGTATATATTCAAATCTACTGTCTATACATGAGAGAAAACATGCTATATTTCTCTACCTCTTTAATGTTATTAATTTTTTCCTTTAATTCAATTTCACACTTACCTCCAACATTCCTTCTACTGTACTGCCATAGATAGATAGATAGATAGATAGATAGATAGATAGATAGATGGTAGATAGATAGAAGATAGATTCTGCATATGAAGAAAAATATGGTAATATTTTGTCTTTCTGATACTGGCTTACATGACTTAGTAATGATCTCCAATTGTACCAACTTTCCTGTGTATAATGAAAGAAAATGCAAGAGACTATAGGAAGATGTTAATGTTGAATTTTTCTTATGACAATGCTCCTGAAGTATACAGACATTACCCATATTCAATCAGCCATAAGAAATAGGCCTTGCTTTTCTTATGAATCATAAAGTAATATTAAGTCTTGCAATAATTTTTAGGGAAAGATATTTTCACATATAATTTTCCAATTATTTCTTAGACATAAATATTTTTATTCTCCTATTGAAGTGTTTTTTTTATTATTTCATTGGACCTTTAAAAGAAGAATTAGTGTTCACAGAAAAAAGGATGTGATTAGTATTTTCATAAACTAGACATATCATATGTGAAATTTATTGTATCTTAAATTAAAAAACATGAATCTTTAGGGAAACAGAAAAGATCATTATTTATAAGCCACATATACAGTGAAATCTCAAGGAAATGGACCTTCCATTCACTTTCAAATGCTCAAAAAAACCATGAATTAGAATTTATGGTTTAGGGAAATGCTCCCTAATGACATCTTCATAATCTCTCATAGGGAGCAAGGTTAATTCTATAAGGTTGTTCCCTGCATTTTAACACTTCTTTAGTCTATGCCTCTGGCATGTGAAAATTAAATTAGGCAAAACATTAGTTAACCAAATTCTGTCATATATTCATTTTTTTACATTCCTCTAAAGCTGAAATTATTTAGGTTTTGTTTCAAAGGTTATTTGGGGTTGCTAAATTGTAAAGAATCACTGAGATGAGTGCTTTCATGTATAAAACAGTTCAAAACATTTCGGAGAAGTAACTTTCAGATCCAGTACATGTTTTTCTTTTCTAAATACTAATTTCATGCTGCTGGAACAAAGTGCATGGTGAATCCTAGGAAGCAAAGTGGGATTCAGATAACCTCTGGAAGCTCAAACAGCTAATTGTATGCCTCTTTTACCTTTTGGCATACCTGAGTCAAATCAGGCTCACCATGTTCCACTGTTCCTGTGATTTCCTACATGATTACATTTGGTGCCATCTTTCTACTAATGTGCAAGGTTGCCTCTTGAAGTTATACTGAAAATCAGGAGAAAAGTCATGGAGATGTATAATACAGTTCTGGCAAAAGGAGGAATTCTATTCCTTTCCTGAGTTTGCTAGTGTTGAACTATGATTTTGATGAAGTATTTGAAGAATAAAAGTATATTATTGATGACTTCATATTGATGATGTTCATTTGGTTTTAATGATTTTTTTTTTGCATTTTGCTGACCAAATATGAATTCCCAAAATATTGTGGTTGACATTTTTAAAGATTTATTTGTGGTGTGTATGGTGTGTGTGTGTGTGTGTGTGTGTGTGTGTGTGTATGCATTTTTACCCAAGCAACTACACTTTTATGCTGAGGCCATCAGAGTATATACAAAATGTTATCCTCTATCACTCTCCATCCCTTCCTTTGAAGTAAGGTGTTTTCTTGAACCTCATGCTCACATGTTCATGAGTGGGCTGGAAGTCAGACAACACAAGTACTACTTTTGCTCCTTTAAGCTGGGGTTACATGCCTGCATGGAAGACCCAGCATGTTATGTACATGTTGAGAACTAATCCCTAGTCCCTGTGATTGCACAGAAAGTTTTCTTAAATTCTGAGCTATCTCTTCATGAAACCATGTAAACATGATAATGGTTTTTGAAGAGCTCCTCTGCTCTAAGAAGAAATTTCATTATTATCAGCAGTTGGTCTTTATTTCTCTCCATTACCCCTTATAGGCCTGCAAAACTATGAGTCTGCTCTTGGTCTCTGCAGTTACGCATTTTAGACATTTCATTAAAAGGAATTCTACATTGGTCCTTTATGACTAGAGTCTTTCAAGATGCATTCATATAGCATGTATTTTTATTTTTCAACATTTTATTACATGGATATACATATTTACTATCAGATTTATATATCTGT